TCCGCGGGGCGGGCGTTCCGCGGGGCGGGCGGTGCCGGGTGCCAGCCGGTCCAGCGGCAGCCCCAGGGCTACACGTTGTCGGCGTGGCCGGTTCCTCCCCCCACCCCGAAAACAAACAGAGCAAGAGCAGAAAGGCGCGGGTTGGCCCGGGCTGCCGAGGTGCCCCGGGGCCGTCTTAAAGCAGGCTTGTGTTAAGAAGTCACCAGCCAGAGCGTGGGCCTACCGAAAATCGTCTGCGACTGTCCAGCTCCGAGCGTCACAGGCTCAACAGGGACACCGGCTTCAGGCCTTACTCCATCTTGCTTCTCAGGCGCCCATAACTCTCTTCTGTCAGCCCCCTGCGTTCGTTCCGGCCCCGCTTCCCTAGGAACCCTCTTCACACCTGCAGAAGGACAAGAAAAATTATTTTCCAGACTGAAGGTTTCTATCAAGACGGGACGTTTTCTTTTGCTGTCGTGACCTACCGAACCTCTACCTGCAGTATGAAAGATCTGCTTCTAAATGATAGTTAAAAGTTCACTGGCACCCACACGTGCCACTAGTTTGGCAGACTAATGCTTAATACCAAGGTATTAAGTAGTAATTTCAAACTACTTCTTTATTTCACGTTCCCTGTGAAGATTGGTGAATGCAGAAGTGCAGAATAGAAGTCCTTTTTACAATATAGTAGTGCCTCAAGATTCTGATGTTTCTTACTAAGATATAACTTTCCACAGACATAATTCAGAACTTCTCTACCATGTCAGTGGCACTTGTCACAGACTCTCAGTGCGCTAAGGCCACCGCTATTATGTTAAAATATTTTCAGTTTTTGAATTATCAGTGAATTGTTCAGCTTAATGGTGATTTACTTTGATCTTTGATGGTATGACAGGTCAGGGAACATAGTTTACAGCTCTGAGGATTGCCAAGTAACGTGCCACCATTGGAGGAGACTTGCTATTCTTCACGTTACCAGAAGCAGTCAAACATGTTTGTAACATGAAAATGTGTGAGAGCTCCAGTATTAGAAACCTAAAAAATCTAAACATTGAGGTGTCAGGCAAAACATTCTCATTATATATTTTCGTCTCTTGTAGCAATCTGCAGTTTGGTTTTATAGCATGATGTGCTATTAATATTGGAAAGTTCGTTCCTGTACTAGAAGTGGGTTTTTTGAATTTCCTTCTCCATAGACCTTTTCCAGGATGTCACTTCTCTCACGGTTAAACACTTTCTAATGTTCATTACAAATGTATCTGTCACTGATTTATGCCCACATGCATCGTGCATTCTTGTGCCAGCATCATCCTTTTAGCTTAAATAGTACTTCTTTCACCCTTGTCTGTGAAAGACAGTGGAAAGGGCAGTCATTTTGTTTTAAAAACTAAGGCTCCAAGTTCTTCCAGCTTCTTAACTGTCTTGGCAGAAGAAATAGTGGAATAGTAACTCACTGATAGAGAAGGTGTCTCACAGGAGTGGACATGCTTTTTAGTGAAGTATGTCTACTTTCAGGAGAAAGGGTCCCAAACAGATGTGGCTCCTACTAATATCGTTTTGCTAGTAGTTCTTCTCACTATGTATGATCAGTTCTCTTTTGCTTGTCTGAAAGTGGGAAGGCAGTACTCTGCTATCTGTTATTAATGCTACATGAACATTTGATTTGTTTAAGGCGGGGACCAAATATTTAAAGAAATATATTCATTGTAAAGATGGTCCCTAAACAGTATTTCCCCAAGTTTTTTACTAAAAAAAAATAAAAAAAATAAGGAAAGTGTGATTAGCTCAGGCAAAGTCTTCATTCAGCTTGTATTGGAACACTACCTATTTGTGCACTCGCAATAAAACTCTTTCACAAATTTACAGAACTGTTACAGAAGGCAGTGACAGTAGCATTTTTTAATTTTTTTCATGTAATAGTTTAGGATGTAGCAGTCATAAACAGGAAACTGAACACTGAATTTTAAATAGTCCATCCAAGTAAATAGATATAGAGTTATGCTCTCAAACAGCACAGGAATCATAGTAGCAAACTAGGGAATAGCTCTGTTTTAATACTGTTCAAATCTACATAGGAGCAGCAACTTATTTTTAACTGAGAGATGCTGAAGGAAGTCAGACAATACAGTAAAATGACAGTGAAAACATTTTGACTGTGGGGTTCCACTCGTGAATACAAACCAAAGATGAAAAAGTAATTTTTAGCTTCTATATTCATTTGGATGAACAAAAATGTGGCTATGTTTTTGTCTGCTAAGAAACTAACTAAAAACACTTATGAAGAAGCAGCATTGACTTAAGCCTTTGCTTTTAGATGAACCATTTCCAAACTTGCATCATGACCATGTTGCAATCGCAGTCCTTCCTTCCTTCCTTCCTTTAGGGTCCCAAATGCAAACACAAGCACGAGCACCCGCTTTCCTGTTGGCCCCGGTGGCTCCGCTCACAGCCATTGCAGCCTCACGCAGATTAATGTCCTTAGCTTGGAGACTTTAGAGCATGCATGCCTGGAAATGTTAATTCCTGGCAGAAAACCACAGGAAAACTACTGTGGTCTCCGTCTGGTTTTTGTTTCACAGAGATATGTTGGGTGGGAAGCAGGGGAAGGTGTGTAACCAGCTTTACTTGTGAGGTAGAGGATGTGGTTGGGACACAAGTTGGAGCTGAAAGGTACCCACAGTGCAGGATTACCGAGACTCATTCTACTTAACCTTAAATTTTTAATTGGGACATTAAGAAAGAAACGTAGGCTCAGTAGATACTTATACTTAATGGGCAGCTCCCAGGGGCTATTCAGCTTGTCTTTCACCATTGAGTATAATAAGACCCTTGGGTGATGATGCATCTAATTTGATGACCTAGTTACAAACCAAAAACTATTCAATGTAAATGTGCACTGATTTCTAGTCCAATCTTGTTCTTTAAATAGTTTGTAATCTGGAAAAAAAAAATTGTTGCTTTTTAATACTTCACTCTCCCCATCTATCAAGGATCTTTTGTAAAATGTCTTGACAGCTGTGTAGAATATTTGCTGTGTAAGTTCTCCTAAGTCATGTATTTATCCTGTGTGTGTGGAAAAACACAAGAATCCAAATTTGGCATGTTGGTATCTGGATCTTAATTTGCATTTTTTGCATTAATTTTACCGGTACCATTGCAAATGCATAAATTAAAATAAAGGGATACCTGGCTGTGATAGTCTTTCCTACAGTGTTTTGTATCAATGAGGCAAAATAAAGGAGGTTTACTAAGTATAGATTGAATAATCTTACACCCATGAACAGATTTGCTATTAAATTCTAGTTACTATGGAATATCATCTTAAATATTATAAAGCAGTGACTACATTATGGTAGTTAGAAACAGTAGCCATACAATTCTGAGAAGGAGACCCCATTATAATGACAATACGATGTATCAGATTTTCAGAAATTCTGACATACAACAATTAGACCAATTGACATGTAAGAGTTAGACTGATTTCTGAATATTCTTGAAAATCTCATTTACAGTGTTATAACTTCATTAATTAGAATGGAAGTTAAAATTGTGGTTAGCTTAGTTTTAATAGAATGCAAATTTCCTGAGTTCAAGGGAATCAACTAAAGGTT